GCAATATTGTGCTGTGTTAGCGCATGCACATAACATGCCTTGCATAAGGCAGCCCATTCATTTTAATGCGCTAAATGGCATGCAGTGTTTTCAGCTGCTGCAATGCAAGTGCATTGATAATAGTGTGCGTTGGGGTGCAGTTCAGAATAAATGGGATCTTAATCACACCAATGTGTTACTGCAGTGCAACTGAACAAGCCCTAAACATTTTCACTTCATATGCATTCCTTACCATAACAAATAGATCTACATTGCTGCTTTTCTCTCTGACTGATAGTTCATTTTACCTTCTGTATTACTCTTTAATGCTTTAGCTGACTGTTAATGTTTGAGCCTTCTGTATAATTATCATAATAGTTTACAAGCAGTCCCGGCAGATAGATCACATAGCGCTGCAGGGCTGAGTGATCTTTTATGAAAGAATGCTCAACTTTGTCAGGGCTGTCAGTGCTGAGCATTATTTCAGAAAAGATGACTCGCAGCTGCAGGCCTATGTGCTATCTGCCTGGCAGACAGATCACAGCCCCAAAGCACTGCGTGAGCTTTTATAATTGAACAATCAGTGCCGTTAGGGCCAGTACAGTATATGACACAACCCTGACAGCACTAATTGTTCATTGATGAGAGTGCCGTGATCTTACGATGTTGTAAATACACCGCCCTAACAGATATATCACATAGCCCTATAGTACTGAATGAGCTTTTATAAATGAACAATCAGTGCTCTGATACAGCTTCTGGTTGCCTGTATGTTTCCTAGCAGTCGGCAGCTCTATCACACAGCCCTGAAGCTCTGATTGTTCATTCATAATAGTAAACAACAGCTAAGAGAGGAGGTGAGGTCTTAGTGTTGACTGTCCTCCCCTACATGAACACCCATATTTTAGGCTTCATAATGGAGTGGAGCTAAAGCAAGTATCAACATAAAGAGATGATTTTATTGTGTAATGGGGCCATCAATCCAAACGCTATATGCATCTGGCCCCCCTAGTGGATAAAATAAAAAATAGGATTTTGGTACTCACCGTAAAATCCTTTTCTCTCCGTTCATTATATTACAAGGGTTCTCTTTAGACCCCTAAAATTTCCCAAAGCCCCTAAAAGTAAAGTAAAAATATTTAATAAAAAATTATTAATATAAAAAAATTAATTACATTTGAAAAAATTAAAATCAAAAACATTTTCGGTTTCTGCCTGACAATTTTTTTTATTTCGGTTTCGTTTCAACATTTCCATTTTGGTGCACCTCTAATTATAAATATTTAGTGAGTCTTCTTTAAAGCGTATCCAAGCTCAAATCAAAATTAACTGAAAGGGTGATTCATTTCATTTGCCTGTTTCTTGGTTATACATAGTTAATGTCTGAGCAAGCAAAATTGTGTTTGAGTATATTCCACAGAAACCAGTTTGAGATGTTTCTAAAATGTTAGGCTGGGTTCACACCTGGGCGCTTAAGCGCTGAAAAACGATCAGCAAGTGAAATCCCATAATTTCCTAAAAAGAAAATTAAAGTGGACTATACACAGTTATAATTTCTGTGTTCAACCTGCGGGCTGAACAAAGAAATTATAACAGATTCCTCCATCCACGCTGTCAGAATAGCCAAACAGTGGTTGCAGCTGATTGGCCACAAGCTATTTGCCCGAAAATGTTTCAACTTGCCCCTTTAATCTTCTGATTAAGGGATGCCGGCCAGAAGGGTGCTGACAGTGGTTCCCACTGTGCAAATTTAACCCAGTTCATCAAGAACCAGCCGACATTCGCATAGTGTATGGCCAGCTTAACACAGCCACCACATCTAAGAATTGGTGAGCTGCAATATATCACATTTTTGCTTATGGGTTTAGATACGCTTTAAATAATACCAGAGATCTAATGATTGGTACCCAACACTTGATTTTAATACATTTGGTGGTAAATGTGGGGGTACACCTACTTTTCCCATCTGGCAAATCTGCATTTTTTTAAAAAAAATTAAATGAAAAGGAATGCATCATGTCAATTGTGCTTTGTAGGTACTGAATAAAGATCAAATGTTTGCCTGTTCAAATAGGTTTATAAAAAAAGTCAACAAAATCCATGTGGTGTACTTATTTTATCACATGACTGTACAGTAACATACAGGAAATGGTGTTTTTATTTTGACATGGAGAAGAAAAAAAAAAAAAGGTCACCAAACTTTTTTTTGCAGTTATTAAGACAATGATTATTTTTATTGTGCATGACAATAGGAAATACTTTAGATTGGAGGCTGTCTGCACCATTATCAACCCCAAAAAATTGCATAAGGCACATTTTGGATGGTACATTCTCACATTAAGGATTATCCTGTTGTTTTCTTATGGGTTAGTCTTCAATCATAGAAAATAATGCATTTATTCTACCAAGAATATTCTAAAATGGGCCGGACAGAATATAAAATAATTGTATCATAGTGATGTTTCAAATTCTTTTCTGTAATCAGTATCACACGTTTTCAATCTTGTTTCAGAACTTCAGAAGTTTAGGGTCCATGGGAGTGCAGTCAACCTCCTAGGACATGGGCAGAAGACGAAAAGACTGACCACAGATTAAGCAGAAGGGTAGTGGAAATGGTAACAAACAGCTTAGGAAAGCTACCAAAGAGATCAAAGGTTAACTCCAAGCTCAGAGTACATCAGTGTCCGATCACACCATCTGTATCTTTTTGAGGGACACTGTGTTCAAAGCAAGCAAACCCAATAGGATATCAAAAATTAAACTAGACTGTATTTTGCTAAAATGCATATTGACAAGCCACAATAGAAGAATTTCCTTTGTACAGACGAGACAAAACTATAGGTTTTTGGCAAGTATAAAAAAAAAAAAAAAACTTTACCTTTTGTGCAACAGAGGAGGCTCAGTTATGTTTTGGGGGCAGCTTTGCTTTGTTTGGCAAGGGGTGCCTTCAATCTGTCCTGGGCACAATGAAATCTAAAAATTATCAAGGAATTCTGGAGAAAAGCCTGCCCAAAGTCAGAAAGCTCTGTTTCACCCTTGTGTGCTTCTGAAACTATTTTTATTTGTTACTTGGGTCAAATCCTGGCAACTGCCTTTTCCCGTGGCCACTAAAAGCACCCCCTTATTAGCTACCAACAAATGTTTATTGGACAGAAAGAGGTTAGTCAGCAGGGCTTAGCCTGAAGTCAGTTTCCAAGTAACAATGTGAAATTAGCTTCAGACAGGCACAAAGAAAAGGCTTATCTGGCAGTAAAGGTAATAGTAGACATCTTCTAATGTCTGCTCTTAGGTAGGTTTAATAGTAAAGGAGAATTAAGGGGAGAGTAAAATGCACTCTTCCCCATGATTAGAGCCGATGTGCAACACTGAAGCGATGACACATCTATTGATCGAGAACTGAGCGATCACATACTGCCATTCGCTCAGTTTCCAATCTTCTCCCTGCAGAGAGCGGCGGCGGTTAGTCATCACTCCCGCAGGGATTCCCCTCTCCCCGTCCGTTCCTCCAGCTCTGGCTGGAGGAACGGACATGGAGGGGCAGAGCCAGCTGTCAGGCAGCGTGGTGGATCCCAACAATATTGTCGGCATCTGTCCTGGCTGGAGCCCGCTCTGCTCTGTCAGCATATAGCGGGCAATAGCCTGCTATGTGCTGAGTTTTGGGTCACAGGAGGACATTGGTATATGTCCTCCTGCAACGCTAAAGAGAACTATGGCAAAAAAAAAAAGGTTGGGCCACAGTTCTCGTTTAACGAAAAGTTTAAAATTAAAAAAAGTCAACCTAATACATCACTGGAGGGGAAAAAATCATTACAGAACACACAAATATTTGATAGTTATACTAAAAAATTTGCTGTGGATTAATTGGAAATATTTTTAATTAACTTCCTAAAAGTGATTTTGGACTTCCAATAATTCTTTATCCCATTTAGAGTAACCCAAAAATTGCTCAGTGAGCAGTAAGAACTCAGTTAAACCAAATAGTATTGGTTCTTGTAACAACAAAAACGCAAGCAAACAGTTACTAAATGACAGCATTTAAAATGGATTAGAAAAAAAATAATTTGTTGAATCCATAAGGCCCCATTCACACTGTTTTATCGTGCGGTAATCCGCACGATATCGCTCTCCAATGCATGGCAATGGGCTCTGTTCGTCGCTGTAACAGGACCCTTTTGGAGCGGATTTTGGCGCGATTCTACTTTGCTCAATGCAACCATTTGCGCGATATCGTGCAGCAAACCGCGCGATAATCACCCAAAATGACAAACGCATGACTTGCATGTCGCTTAGTGTGAATGGGGCCTAACACCTTTGGGCCTCATTCACACGAAAAAAGGCCAGCACGTACAGCTCCGCGCTGCAAGCACGGCCGTATCAGGCAGCTCCCAGGAAGGACAGGTGTTGCGTGTGATTAGTACGCAGCCACTGTCCTTCTCTATGGGAGTGCGCTGCCGTACACCGCCCTACGCTCACCCCAAGTCCCGGTCCGTACAGGTGCGGGGTGCCTGGCTCGGACGCAGACAGGATCCATCCTGTCAGCGTACGAGTACGGACACCCGCACCCACGTGCATGGCGGGTGAGCGTAGGGCGGCGTACGGCCGCATACTCCCATAGAGAAGGACAGGGGCTGCGTACTAATCACACGCAACACCTGTCCTTCCCGGGAGCTGCCCGATAGGGCTGTGCACGAGGGACGGAGCTGTACATGCCGGTCTTTTCTCGTGTGAATGAGGCCTTACAAAACATCCAATTTGCAGATCCACCTTTAAATAATAATAATAAAAAATACACATAGTAATTGCTATTAAATTAGCATTTCCATATAAATAATCTCCAAAAAGAGATGTAAACTTATTTTCAAACAAAACCACTTACTGAATCACTGACCCGAAATAACTTTGCAGCACTTCAGTGGCTGCATGACTACTGATAACAATCAGTTGTTGTCCAAGTCACTTAGAAATTAGATCAATTTACACACACACACACACAAGTCTATAATTTATAGTGTAGATTTTTCCTTCAAAAGAAATCTGATGCTTTTCTTCGTTTGGGTAAATGCAGCAGGTCATCTGTAATGGTGGTGGAATCAGGAACAGTAGGAGATTGTGAAGCAGCTCCAAGAGTAGGGGTTACAGTGGGCGTTAGACGAGATCCTCCTGGGGTCTTAAGAACATGCAAGCTTGTGTGTGTAGGGGAAGGGGTATAACTTGCTCTTAAAGCTTTATCAGTGTATTTACTTGAAGTTCTATTCACCAAACGCTGAAGAGCAGGAGACATGGATGGATGAAGACCTTTGGGTGTCAGGCTGTAGAAGAAAACACATTATCAATAAATGGTAGTACATGGGCAGGCTATAAAAAATAAAAAAGGTACACAAATTTAAGAGTTTTTCTAAATATTGTAAACATAAAGCCTGCACTTACCTAGCCAGATTTTCTGTCACCTTCCTCAATGCTTCCTGTTTATTGGCTCTGTTTTTGGCTGCTGCCTCATTTGCCATTTTCAGACCTAAACGCTCCCTGCGGCCAGGTTCCAGAATCTACCACAACAAGGTGTAAAAATATTCATGCATTAGCATAAATAAAGACTTTTCCAAAAGTGTCCAAAAGACAGAATGAATGTATCCCTCAGTTTAGAGGCATCCATTAATGAAAGGGTTAACCTTTTTCAGACACCCGATACCTTAATATCGGGTGTCTGGTCAACGGGACCTTCAGTAGTCATGCAGCCACTGAAGTGCTGCAAAGTTATTTCGGGTCAGTGATTCAGTAAGTGGTTTTGTTTGAGGATGACATTCTCAGGCCTTATGCCTTTATAAGCAGGACAGCAATAGCGGTTCCTGCATTTCTGCTCATTTGACTAGAAGTAAACCTTATTACTAAAATCTCATATAAGATGTAACATGTTAATGCCTGTGAGCTGCACCTTAAATGATGGACCAGGTGCCTTTTCCAAATATGGGGTCTCTGAACCATCCAGACGAAAAGGAGTGCTCTCAACTTCACCCCAAGTCATTAAAGGGGAATCGTCAACTCCTGTGAGGATGTAAAAATTTAATATTTTTGTTAGTTTAGGACCGAGGTTCTGTCCATCTAAAGAACAAATCTGCGATGACCTGACCAACATATAGTTGCTGTACACATACCAGGAGCAGGCGATGGAGTGGCTACATATCCAAAACCATTGACTTTTGGGGATTCCTGTGGTATCAATTCCTTCCCATCAGGACCAACCTTCCCTTGTTTATACTGTACACAGAAAAGAAATCATATTGATTAGTGAGTGAAGTACAATTCAAGAAAGCAAGCAAAAGCAATGAGCAGAAAAGTGGCTTACTTGTGCATTCAAGGCAGCTGCTTGTTGTAGCTGTGTCTTACTCAAGGCTTGACTGAAGGGGTCCCTCTGGAAACGTGTGTTTCTATGGACCACCTCCCTAGGTTTCTTGAATATGGCATCATTATCTGGCACACCTGCAAAAGATGCTACTGTGAGTAACTTTTTCTTTGGCTTTTACATACAAAATCCTTTCTCAGTATTTCAATAGGAGATCCAAAGTGTGTTTTGCAAGCATGATCCTTTTGTAATAATGAATACAGAACATCCCACCCATCAACTCTATTTGGCTCAGTATACACTTTTAGACCCAGCAGTTTTTGTTTTTTTAAGGGAGCTTGGCAGGCTTCATAACCTCCCACCAAACAGGAAAAAAAACTGCCGTTTAAAGTTACAAACTTGGTCACCTGTAACTTCTGTCTAGGACCACTTTGGAAACTTTAGAACAGATAACAGTTCAAACCTGACAGACGTTCCATCTCCTTACTTAATATCCAAGTGACCACTTACCTTCAGAGGAGAAAGTGAGGGGATTCCGTACAACGTGGACACAAACCGCAAATAAAACCCTGATGTGTCCAATTCCTCCCTAGTCCATCCAAAACAAAATATAAAACATCTATCTTTGGCTGGCGTTTAACTTTACCATTTTAGTTCTGTCTGCAAATAATAAAGGTTTTAAATTCAAAATTGTGATTAGCCTTGCTCAATCAATACAGACTGATAGCTTCACTGCCTTAAGCTGGCCATACACGGATCAAATTTTGGCCCTTTCCTTAGTAATTGTCTGAAATCCGATGCATGGGTGACCCTCAGGACCACCCGGATGAAACATTGTGGGCTGAACAGTGACAGCAGCCTATTAGCTGCAGTCACTGTTTGGGTATTCTGACAGCAGCGGGCGCTGGCTGTCACAATACAATAGTTGGCAGAGAAGGTTTCTCTCAGGGAAGAACAAGAGAAATCTTAAGGTGTAAGGCCAGCTTTATCTGCTACTTGGAAATATTATTTCTTCATAGAATACATACCTGCAGGATAATACATGAGGGTGTTGTGTGTTTTGTACTCCCAGGTGTCTAGCCCTGATTTTACATTTTCTATGGCTTGCATTTCAGCAGAAGGAAGAGCCAAGTTGTCCTGGAACCGCTGGGGAGAAGTGAGAAAGAAAGAACATTCCAGTGAATTGAAGTTAGATACTGCTTACCTCCTGGCCAGAAACACTTTCTATTATAAGACTTTTTAAGTACAGAGAAGATAATTCCATCACACAGATATGCAATTAATGTAAACCTAATATGAACCAGGGAGACCATGAGAAAATGCATATGCAGAAGAATACCATGGAAACCAGATGATAGGTTCCTAGTATATTGTACTAAGTAGTCATACTAGAGGTGCACCGAAATGAAAATTTCAAAACCAAAACTGAAACAAAATATATGTCAGGCCGAAACCAGAAATTTTCTTTATTTTAACTTTTTCAAATATTTTATTTTTTTATATTTATTTTTTTTATTAAATATTTTTATTTTTTACTTTACTTTTAGGGGCTTTGGGGAAATATTGGGGGTCTAAACAGACCCCTGATATTTCCTTTTTAAAATAGATTGAGGACACAGAGTCCTCAATCTCTTTTTCTGTAGCCCCTGTTATAAATGAACAGGAATCCTCTATACGGAGTGTTCCCGTTCATTCATAACATGAGGACAGAGTACGTTTACTAGAACCACAATCATGAATGAACAGGAGGTGATGTAGTTCACTTCCCATTCATTCATAATTGAGGACACAGTGAACATACTCTGTCCTCAATTACTTACAAACACTCCGCGATCACTGATCACGGAGTGTTTGTACTCGCTCTCCTTCCCGACAGCTGTCACAAAAGGCTGAGAGAGTGAAGCTCAGCCTGCTGTGACAGCGCTGGCTGTCTCCGCCCACACTGCTCTCCTCTGATCTGTGACAGGAGGCTGAGTGGTGCGGGGAGGAGAGATGTCGGCCGCTCACAGTGCTCTCCTCCCGCAATGCTCGGCCGCCTGTGACAGTTTCTCTCCTCCCCGCTGGGACACAGAGCAGCGCCCAGCAGGCAGGAGAGAAAGAATGGATACAGCGGTGCGCTGTATCGGCCAGAAAATGGCCCTTTCAGCATTATGGCAAAAGTGCAATTTTCGGCCGATATGCTTCGGCGGCCGATATATTGGTGCATCCCTAATTCATACATTCTTTATCCTCAGAATCAGACATTAAAAAGGAGAATATAACCATTCTCTTACTTGGTTGTATTCTTCTTCAGCTTCGTATAGCCAGGAATTTCGTGCCTTCTCCTTCTCCTTTGCAACTTCCATTATTTGTTCAAAGGAAGCGTTGTCCTCGCTAGTGTGTTTCGCTAAAAACTTATCAAGGCAGGGAAGCTCCTGATTTTCCTCTTCTGTTTTCTCGCTTTCTGCTGCAAAAGTCCAATGACTAGTTACACAGGGGTTTCTGCTTAGGTTTGGTATATGACTAAATATGCAACAATACATAAAACATAAAGTCAGTAAGGCTAGAGGATATACAGGAACTCCAAGTGGAGCCCCAAGGAGCTATGAGCAGTCAGAATGTGCTACAACACAAGGGCATGCACCTATTACTTAAACATTAGTGTTTGGATATGCATTGCAATTATTGCATAAAAATGCTAAATATGTTCAACCCACAAAACTTACTAAAAGTGGAACTCCAACCAAAACCTTTTTCCACAAAGACATTTTATTGGAGTGTTTTTTTGCGTTGCCTCTGTTGAACAGACTTCCTCTAAGTTTCCACCATTGATACACAACAGAAAATGACAGAAATATTCCCCAAAGAGACAGGAAAACCTGACATGTTCTAACCTTTAACCCCTCTATTCAAAATTAAAAAAAAAAAAAAGGTTTTATTTGGATTTACACTTTATAGCAAAACTCCGGACATAAATATTCTTATCCATTGCAGTGTGCCCCCCCCCCTCACCCCAGTGAAAGAGTTAAAGGAGAACTATGGGGTTAAAGCTTTTCCCCATAGTTCTCCTTAGGGTAACAGGAGGACACAAACTAGCGTCCTCCCGTCACCCTAAGGTCAGTATACGGAGACGCCACAGCTGAAGCGGATCCCGACAATTATGTCTGGATCCGCCCAGCTGCGTGAGTGACAGCTGGCTCTGCCTATCTAGAGGCAGAGCCAGCCGTACCCGCCCCCTCCCCCGTCCGATCTGCCAGTCAGCGCTGGCGGATCGGAGCGGGGAGGGGGGAATCCAGCCACTCCCGTCACGGCAGAGAGCTGTGATAGGATCGAGAAGTGAGCAAACGCCGGTATGTGTTCACTCACCTCCCGATCTACTGAGCCGACCTGTGACAGTCTCATTGTCACAGGTCGGGTAGAACTATGAGGTGACTGAAAAGCACTCACCTCATAGTTCTCTTTTAAAGTGCTCATTGTGGCCTAGAAATGAGAATAAAAAAACGTTATATTCACCGGAAACTCGGACCCAGCTGGCTGCTCCTCCACTCCAGCGATGATACATCACTCAGCGTCCTCACGTCCTATACACTGTACAGAATGTGATGACTCACAGGACCCAAGACCGCTGGAGTGGAGTAGTAGGGACCAGTTTAACAGCCAGCCGGCTGCGAGGTTCAACTGAGTATACCATTTATTATTTTCGTCCCTAGACGAGAACGAGCACTTAATCCTTGCAGTGCAGGGGTAGCCCCACTGCAAGGGTTAAGAATAATTATGACCGGGGTTGTCCTTTAAGAACTAACAAAAGCACTATGCTGAATTACAGTGTACATCCACTTTCACATTCAAAATAGGGATAACACCTATATTTGTTTAATTTCCATTAACAAAGCATAAGACGGAAAAATACTTATAAAATGATTCTTGCAGTTTAAAATACTTTTACTTGGGTTAGGGTCTCTTGGCTTCTTAAGGGTTAACATTTCTACTTGCTTCTCTTTCATTTGATATTTTAGAAAGTGATGTGAGGGGCGGGTGGCTTCTCCATTGTATTTTCATGAAGTTAATGGTTAACAGAATCCTCAAATTTCAGTCCTACGTCTTTCTATAAGGACAGATAACTGTGAAGGTGCTCAGAAAAATCTGGAATCAGTCATGTTGCCTGCTGCAACAAAAGATTTAAAATGTAAGAAATATTTTTAGCTATGCTGCATCAATAGATACACATAACAAACATATACAGGTCTATTCACAAAAGGGTGAAGAGTTTGGGGAAGGCAGGAGAAGTTAACAATCTAGGGCAATATAGCTGAACTGGAAAGTTAGTGGAATTGAAGAATATTTCCAAATCAGCTATGTTGTCTTGGATAAGCAGTGGCAAACCTACGGCACGCAAAGGCCCCTCTGGTGGCATGCAAGCTTAGGCAGGAGTGTGGAATTCGTAACGCCCGATGCCTGGCACAGGCACCAGGCGGGTAGTTTTCTTCTACATTCAGCCCTGCTTCGGGCAAGCAGGGCTAAATGTAGAGCGCTTCTCATTTAGTACAATGCTACGGAGATCACTTGAATGCAGCCTGCAGATCTGGGCAACCCCCGCAGACTGCCTGCCCATCGTAGTTTTAGGGGTCCTGGGGGACTCTTCTGGGGGACCCTGTACACCGGCAAAGTAGTTCAGGATGGAGAGCGGGGAGTGGAACTTCTGTTCTCAGCTCTGCTCCATGTGAACATTGAGACAGGAGAGTTGTACTCACAGCCTTCCCGTATCAGCTGTCACAAGAATCTGAGCATAGTACTGTGCTCAAACTCCTGTATTGGAAGCGACAGGTTCAATAAGAGAATCTGTCACCTCCAAATGCTATCACACAGAGGCTTGCTAAGCCCTGTGTGATAGCAATAAATTTAAGTGGAGAAAAAAAAAAAAGTAAAACATTTAAATTTAAAAAATAAAATAAAAACCAAAAGTAAAAAAAGAAATGTAAAAAAAAAAGGGATAAAAGTTAAAAATATTAAAATAAAAAGTTATAACAAAATAAAAGATAATACAATAAATACAAATATAAAATAGTAAAAAACTAAAGAAATAAAAAAAAGTGATAAAAAAAAAAGAAAAAAGAAAATGTTTAAATTTGTGTGTAAAGCAGAGAGGCTGAACGTGTTTTAAACCCCAGCGCCTAAACTAAAACACAATACCAACACTTATTTTCAGTGCTGGCACATTGAGATAAATAAATTGATTTTGTGTTGCAGTTTTGGCACTCAGGCTCAAAAAACTTCGCCATCACTGTCCAAGACTGTTCACTTCTCCAGCCTTTTCCAAACCCTTCCCCCTTTAGTGAAAAGCCCTGATAGAGTAGTTGTTTTTTCAAAATTTGACTGCAAAACTGGAAATACACCAAGTTATTTTTTCTCATATTATGGTTTTTCCTCCACTGCTTCTCTTAGCTTGGTGGTTTCTCTGTTTGTCTTTCTGAAGTTCCAAAAGTCCAAAAAATTTTAAAAATTTATAAATGTTTTCAAGCATGATTTACAGAACTTTCACCCAGAATTCACACGTTTTTAATGGAATTCCATTATAGAAATGTGTGACTCTTTGGTGAAATATATATATATTTATATATAAAAACATTTATAAATAGCCGCGTTAGATAAATCAAATGGGCACTATTGTGAGTTTGTAAGGATTATATTTTACTTGCCTTTATTTAATTACCACTTAACTGAATAAGCAACAAAAAGACATGTAACTCAATGGAGAAGTGGAAGGAAGGTTAGCAGCTAAGAGGTAAAATCTTGGATAATATACCATGGATACAACCGACTTGTCTAAACACAAATATGCTTTTATTATACACAAACAAGAAGCATAAGATTTAGGAGGTGGGAGTCATGGTAATCAGACAGCACATAAGAATGGTGCTTATGGACTGTCTTACCTTCATCTCCTGTCCTGTGCTTCACAAGCAAAGATGGTGTACCAGGAAGACCAACGGGTGTTTCAAATGTGGCAGGTGTAGCATCTAAAAAAAAGAAAGAAAACATAAACACTGCACACACTTTTAAATGAAAATACATTACTTTCTAATTTAAAAAAATATATATTACAACTAAATTAGAATTCCAGGTTAGCATTTTTTTTTTTTTTACAGTCCTGACCATGAAAAAGAAAATATATTTAAAACCATAATACATTTCACTCATTTGGAAGGCAATACTCAAAAGTGAAAAATGTATATCCTAATAAAAATAAAGATGAAGGGATGGGAAAGCAATATGGCACCATCCAGTGTCCATGCATTCTGTTCTTACATCTTCAATAATAAATCAGTGTATAAATGCAACAATTTGTATAAATTCACCTGCGCAGCCACTGAAATCTTTACATGTTCGGCTGTCTTAGTCGGTAACGCTGGTCAAACATGCATCCAAATATCTCATCAGCATCCTATTGATCAAATGATCCGATACAATTGATATTGAAAGCAATCTAACAAAGCATCAAAGGAAAAATTCCAGAATCAATACTGTTGCCATTAATGACAAAAAAAGTCAAATGGAAGCTGTCAAAGACACCGTAAAATCATCATTTTCTGCTTTAAAATTAGCAGTTTTTTAAAGCAGAAATTCCCAGTGCTAGATGAAGTGGGTCCTGCACTGTACGAAATGACACAGGACTGCCTGCCCACATTCCAGTGATGCACAGAAGAACAACAGAGTATCAACAGCTGTGGGACTCTAAATTAAGGCATTGATCTCTTATATTAACCCCTAGAGCAAACTACAAATCCCATGAGGCGCTGCAAGCCTGACAGCCACAGGCATGACTCCCAGAGATATTATGAGGGGAATTTATCAAAACTGGAGCAGATTTGCACTGCAACCAATCAGCTTCTCTGTCTCATTTCCAAATCTTACCTGAGCAAACTGAAGAGAGAAACTGATTGGCTGCCATGGGCAACTGCTCCAGATACTGCGTGCTCCAGTTTTGATAAACCCCCCCATGGGATTTGTAGTTCAACCACAGCTGGAATGTCGAGGCTGCCACCCAGGACATGCGGTTCCAGGTGGCCGAAACAGCGGTGCATCAGTGCTTTCTCTCCTCCCAGCTGGGCGCTGCTCTATGTCCCAGCGTGGAGGAGACAAACTGTCACAGGAGGCCAAGCGGTTGAGCGAGGGGGAGTGCGGTGTGAGCGGCCGGTGTTCTGTTGAGAATGCCTGACCCAATCAAACTTGACAACCTCACCATCTGCGCTTGTGCAGGACTGTATTAACAAGGAAACAGCCATTTATTTACAAAGTATTAATTTCTAATTGTGACCGTTTATGATATGCCGACCCTGGCAGTAAATTATGGATGGCATTTTATGCACATTCACAATTAATATCGTAAGCAATTACGTAATTGCTTACGATATTAATTGTGAATGTGCATAAAATGCCATCCATCATTTACTGCCAGGGTTGGCATATCATCAACGGTCACAATTTGATATTAATACTTTGTAAATAAATCCCTGTTTCCTCGTTAATGCCGCCTGTGCACAACCGCAGATGGTGAGGTCGGCAAACTCGACTGGGTCGGCATTCTCAACAGAACAGCAGCGTCTATCCTCCCAGCACTGCTCAGCCTCCTGTCACAGATCAGGAGAGCAGTGGTGTGGGCGGAGACAGCTGTCATTGCCATCACACCCCTGTACCTACCCCTGCCCTAGACAAAGAGGCAGTAAATCCTTTATCTCCAATTCATGAAATAAGTTAAAAGGCATCAAATACTTGTGAAAAAGAAAAATATTTGCCAGATGTGAACAACATATTTAACTAGTTCTTCTAAAGACTGGCTCATCAGGCAAGCGACATTATTTTTAGATGTTTCAGGATGTAATAAGTATAGCTTGCCAGATTTACTTACAAGGTAATGGAGTCTCTCTAGAAAACTTCCCCGATGTTCCAAACTTGATAGCTATCTGCCTCATCTTCTCAAGGTCTCCAGACTCTTCCGCCTCTAAGTATTCCTTCTGAGCCCGCAGCTTTTCCACATCAGGAAAGAAATCTCTCTGGATAATCTTTTGCAGGTTCTGTAAGTGATACAAACAATACTGTCTACATAAACCTTGACTTATTTTTCCTCAATGAAAACAAGTCTAACCAGCCCACCCAAAATTGATCATTCTTTAAAACCAAAAGACCATGCTTGTGGCTAAGTAACTTTCATGAGTGTCAAAAGTCCAAACTCGCCCACTTAAATTCACCATTATTATAACGATTCCTTCAAAATCCCTCTGCTTAGCATAAAGCAGAAATAGAAATGTCACAGTAGGGTCAGGGTATTACTTTCTCAGGAATGCTCTCCCCGACTGGGCGCTGAATACCCTCACCAATCTGGAAAGTACAAACTAGGGATGCACCGATACCGAGTATTTGGGTGAGTACTCGTACTCGCCCAAATGCTCCGATACCTAGCACGAGACGAGTACTCGCCCAAATACTCGCCATCGGCACCGATACTAGTTAGTGATATTAAACCCTTGGGTTTTTTTCACAACAGGAGATCAGGATTTACTGAATAAGCTGTTTTAAAAAATGCCCCATTTAGTTTATTTTCTTAATCTCTCAGACCATGGCCCTTCCCTCCAGTGTATGAGCGTCTCCTCCTAGCACACCTGTGTGTGCGCTCCTCCAGCCATCACCTGAGCCGGGCGCTGTGTGCGTCCACTGAAACACACAGTGATCTGGAAGCCACGCCCATGCTCCCTCCTCACAGTAATTTGATAGGCAGCTGCAGCAGCCTATCCCTGCCCAGTCCTCACTGCCCTACAGTGAGGACTGGGCAGGGATAAGCAGTACAGTAAGCACCGAACTTCGAGTCTTACCGGCCTGGCTCTCATACAGTGCCTACAATGAAGGCTATGTGGGTCCCCTGAACACCATCTCCTCCACTCATAAAAAGTCTTGTACTCTTTTGACAAAATATAAAATTGTGTAATTGGATGAGGTGGAGATTGTGATGTTCATCCGCCTTCCCCTCATCCAATCACAGAATGCCTTATATCCTGTGAAAAGAATACAAGTCATTTTATGCATGGAGGAGGTGGCATTCAATCGCCCCATGCAGCCTTCACTGTAAAAACTGTAGAGAATCCAATGCTGTAAGACCTCATTTACACAGCAAAATGTGCCAGCTGCAGCAAGACTCCAGTGGATTCCTGAGACTAAGGTGGATGCAGACAGCAGCGGCCGCTGAGCCAGCACACAGCAATTACAGGCTGACAGAAGCCACAGCTGTCCACTGATGTTTGGATGTGATCACACAAGGAGTGATTACCTGCAGTTAGGGGCAGATGATCACAGACACAAGCTGCCTGCATCCAGGTGTGATCATCTGTCTCTGATCAAAGATAATAGCTCCATATGAAGCTGGCGACAGCAGCGGCCACTGTCAGCCTGTCATTGCTTTGTATAGGATCACAGCAATTTAAACTCATTGCAAATGGCCAGAAATCATGTTTTCCCCCCGGAATTCATCTACTACAGTGAGGACTGGGCAGGGATAAGCAGTACAGTAAGCACCGAACTTCGAGTCTTACCGGCCTGGCTCTCATACAGTGCCTACAATGAAGGCTATGTGGGTCCCCTGAACACCATCTCCTCCACTCATAAAAAGTCTTGTACTCTTTTGACAAAATATAAAATTGTGTAATTGGATGAGGTGGAGATTGTGATGTTCATCCGCCTTCCCCTCATCCAATCACAGAATGCCTTATATCCTGTGAAAAGAATACAAGTCATTTTATGCATGGAGGAGGTGGCATTCAATCGCCCCATGCAGCCTTCACTGTAAAAACTGTAGAGAATCCAATGCTGTAAGACCTCATTTACACAGCAAAATGTGCCAGCTGCAGCAAGACTCCAGTGGATTCCTGAGACTAAGGTGGATGCAGACAGCAGCGGCCGCTGAGCCAGCACACAGCAATTACAGGCTGACAGAAGCCACAGCTGTCCACTGATGTTTGGATGTGATCACACAAGGAGTGATTACCTGCAGTTAGGGGCAGATGATCACAGACACAAGCTGCCTGCATCCAGGTGTGATCATCTGTCTCTGATCAAAGATAATAGCTCCATATGAAGCTGGCGACAGCAGCGGCCACTGTCAGCCTGTCATTGCTTTGTATAGGATCACAGCAATTTAAACTCATTGCAAATGGCCAGAAATCATGTTTTCCCCCCGGAATTCATCTTGAAGTATAAGAGGGAGGACGAATGAGTAAAGTAGGCGCCAATATTCAGATTCAGAAATCTGATCAGTCTGGATCAATAAATAACTGCAGATCGCTGTGAATGTGTCCTGTACAGCCTGTAGCACAGCAGAGGTTCATGCTGGCCCTCTTACCTCTATGTAAGTCTGCTCTGTCAGAACCTTCTTCTTCGGCTTCATGCTCTCTGCATTCTCCGATGACGGCACAGCCACAGCCCCTGAAGCCTGCTCCAGGGGTACCAGAGCCCCAGACAGGGAGCACTCAGGGCCCACTGTAGCCATACCAGATGACAATAGCTACAACCACTACGGAACCAACGACACCGAATACACAGTTCACCGGAAGCACAACACGCTGTTCACACCGGAACTGATAGTTGATTGGACCTCCTACGACACTGTCCTTGCGCAAAGCACTTGCAGCTAACAGTGGCACTGCGCATGTGCAAATTCCCGGTTAGGCAGTCCAGGCTGATCACATGACCCAGATCAGCCTCAGCCCCGCCTCCACTGATATAACATACCATCTCAGGTCCAGGACATTGGACAATGTCTGCAGCAACACGTTTATAAATAATACAAATAATGAATACAGTGTGCTTCCTCATTGCTTTCTGCCGCAGCAAAGCGATAACTAACATTAATGTATAATAAATAGAGTGGGGGGAGTTCATTAAAACTGGAGCAGGCAGAATCTGGAGCAGTTGCCCTTGGCAACCAATCAGTTTCTCTGTTTCATTTTCAAGCTTAAAGTGACACTAAACTCGAGTTAGATGTTAAAAATGTATTCAAGTACCTTAACTATTAAAGGAGAACCATGAGGTGAGTGATTTTCACTCATCCTCATAGTTCTAGCCGACCTGTGAAAATTAAACTGTCACAGGTCGGCTCAGTAGATCAGGAAGTGAGCGAGCACATACCGACGTTCGCTCACTTCTCGATCCTGTCACAGCAGAGCGACTGGATTCCCCCCGCTCCAATCCACCAGCGCTGACTGGCGGAACGGACGGGGGCGGGTACAGCTGGCTCTGCCTCTAGATAGGCAGAGCCAGCTGTCACTCACGCAGCTGGGCAGATCCAGACATAATTGTCGGGATCCGTTTCAGCTGCGGCGTCTCAGTATACCGCGAGCTGCAGCTCGCGGTATACTGAGCTTAGGGTGACGGGAGGACGCTAGTTTGTGTCCTCCCGTTACCCTTAGGAGAACTATGGGGAAAAGCCCTGACCCCATAGTTCTTCTTTAATTAAAACGTAGATTATTTGTTTTTGCTGACCTTTCGGGAGGTTGGCTACTCTGTTGGTTCCTGTGTGTGTGTGTTTGTTGTAAAGTAGTTGTACAGAGGTGTCCCCTGCACTCCTTACAGCATTCACCTTTAATTAAAAAAATGGTGCTTGCAGTGATGATCACGGATGGCGCCGTGCACATCAAACTTGTATAGAAGGAGATCAATCTTATGTTTAGTCTACCAATTTGTATTGATATTGTAGTCCCTCACAGGAGTGAGCTTGAAGCAGTAACTACTTTACAACACGTGTATAGAAGGAAGATCACCACCTTGTCAAATCCTTGTGTACATTTATTGTGAAAGAGCATCACATACTGTATATCCAATAGCCATCTTTACAGGGCCACGCAGGCTCCCTTTGGCAGGGCGACATAGTAACCATATATGGTCACTATGTCACCCTGACGAAGGGACCCTGCGTGGCCCCTAAACGTTGGCTATTGGATATATGTGATGCTGTTTCACAGTAAATGTACACAAGGATTTGGCGAAATCTTCTGAACGGTGTTGATCTTCCTTCTATACATGTGTTGTCAAGTAGTCACTGCTTCAAGCTCACTCCTGTGATGGACTACAATCTCAATACAAATTGGTAAATAACATGAGATTGTAGTCCATCACAAGATAGGGGTCTGGTATGCATTTTCGGGGGATAACCCATGCCAAAACACAAAACTAACAACCACGGGGGTTTCCCTTTTAGATCATGAGTCACTTCCTTTCACATCAGAGTCACGCCATCTTACACTAGTAGCCCCCTTTATATCAGAGCCCATTTTTTACATCAGAGTTCCCCCTTCACATCAGAGTCTTCAGTCCCCCTTCACATCAGAGTCTTCAGTCCCCCCTTCACATCAGAGTCTTCAGTCCCCCTCTTCACATCAGATTTCTACCACCACATCAGCAGCCAAAGCTGCAGCAGCATGGCAGAGGATGGGAATCAGAGCAGGCCTGAACGGAGGTGAAGTTCTATCCTTTTGTGAATATATGCCACCCTCCTTGGATTAGCATTGTTTGTTTCCTTGCTGCTGGGGGCCAGCCTGCCTGCACCATGGAAAGGCATGATGCTGGATGAAAATTTCAAGGCACCCCTGAAAGTTTAAGATCAACTGAGAGACCTTTGTTCTCCCCAGGGGCCGCAAAACTGGCACTCTGGGATCTGACAAGCTAATTGCATCCTGTGTAGTGTAGACCATCCAGTTTATACACTTATCACAAAGAGCTATTTCTCCTGTGTCAAAGAAGAACTTCAACCTTATCAGTAATGACAATCTACAAACAGATACTTCTAGATAATTGCAGGCATTGTATTCTTTACATACCTTATTTTTCTTTTCTTCCCCATTCTTCTATCAGTGGCCATTTTACTGAATCCATCTCCTTTTACTTCCTGGAACTCTGGCACATGTGACTAGGACATGTGACCTTGCACGTCATCCCAGGGGAGGAATATGCCTTTCCCTGAGATTTTGTGAGATTACATTTGAGATTTCCCAACAATTCTCTGCTAATGTAACCTTCCCAGGATGCAACACTTGGGCATATTACATCACTTTTGCCAAAGAGAACCAGGACGTAGAAAAGAAGAAATTGTAAGTAAAATGAAAATATGTTTGTTTAACTAATGAATGTAAGACGGTTTCATATCTGCATGCATGTGATTTTTAGCCAAAGGGGGTAAGAGTCCACTTTAAGAGTGATAATAACTAAATTATTACATATGTACATAGTCAGGCTGGAAAAAAGTCCATCAAGTTCACCCTATAGAGAGAAGGAAAAAAAAAAGAGAGAAGAAAAACCTAAAACAGAACACTATGCCCACAGTTACCCGCACTCCATAAAACATGGTTTAATTTGCTAGCTAGAACTAGCTCCTGAGGGAGTCTATTCCACTTTTTTCTCCAGGTGCAGAGTGCCCCTTTGTTCTTTGAAGTGACCCTAAAGTGAATACGTTTGCACGAAGCTCATAATATTATATATTTTAGATGTATGCCTGCTACGTCTTCCTGAAAACGTCAACCCTGGGTCCATGAAACACGTTGAATCGTTGTGATATAAATGAATGGTGGTTTACTGACAATCATAAACTGTGTAGAGGGTGGAGCATACAGTATGTGGAGGTATTATGGATAATATAAATGTCATGTAACTAGTACCAGCCCTTCTTTTATGTTGAACTATTAATGATTTGCTAATAAAATGCTAAAAACTAGGGATGCACCGAACAGCCGCCTCCTCGCTGTTTAGCTGGGAAGCCGTCTTCCCGGCCAATCAGCATCGAGCGGGCCAAATTGCTTGCTCCTTGCTGATTGGCTGGGAAGCTGGCTTTCTAGCCAATCAGCATGGAGCTGGCTTCCTGGACAATCAGGGAGGCGGGTCACTACTCACAGCCCAGCTTCCTGATTTGCCGGGAAGCCGGCTCGATGCTGATTGGCTGGGTAGCCGGTTTCTCAGCCAATCACAATTGAGCCGGCCAAACAACATGGAGCCGGCTTCCCAGGCAATCAGGAAGCCGGGCGGCATGTCATTACCCACCGCCCGGCTTTCTGATTGCCCAAGAAGCCGGCTCCATGGCAGCAGAAGCAACAGTATCGGTAGTCGGTATCAGCGAGTACCAAAAGCAAAATATCGGTACTCTTACTTGATACCAAAAAGCCGGTATCGGTGCATCCCTACTAAAAACATTTATTGATGTGATGTGATGTGAAAGACTTCAAATTCGATACCCAGCAAGTCCCAATATTTCTTCTTTCGTAATTCTAAAGCGTGTTTTCTTGTTACTCAGATAGGACACTGGCACACCGATGAAACTGCTGCACAACCTGTCACATTTTGCATTCAAAAATGGTGTCATTTGTTTTGTTACAGAATACATTTGCTTAGCAACTTAATAAAAGCACAGAAAATAAATTCCCAAAATGTGTCAATTACATTTAAAATTTCATAAAAAAAGAACTAACATCTAGTAAACGTTTATTATATTGGTACAATGATCTGGAACTTAGAAAACATTTAACAGTTAAGAGAAAAGGGTTTGTTTCTGCCTCCATAGCATGGTATTGGCTGCTAGCAAGAGTCATTCAGGTTTTTCTTCCCTTGGAGGATGAGGACAGATGCTGTGACTCTTTTTTGCCTCCTCCACTTTGCTCTGCGGTTTTTAAACCATACCTAAGGCCACAAAAGGAAATGTTGTTACTGGTTAATGATCTAGAAGTAGTCAAACTAAAAATTATAATTGGATACAAAAAAGCTTAAACCATTTTTAGGCCCTATATATGTTCGTTTTTTTCTGAAATTGTAACCACTACTTTCCATAATCCATTTATTGTACTTTGGATGGATATGTTATTTTGGAAACACTAAATACTGTGTTACAATTGGCTGGTATGAACTTGGCTTCTGTGCTACTTAAAGTTTCTCTATTCTTTTCATAGCACCAACATCAGCCTGAGGCAGAGAAGAATATTGTTTGTAGGATGGAGAGGCATATGTACCATTGTGTCAAGATCTTGAATTTTTTTTCTCTTGGGTCACAGAAGTGACAGTCCTACTTACCTTTAAAGTGTATCTAAAGCCACAATTTTTTTGGCTTTGGCTAGAATCTTAGAGACTATTCCGACAGGAGTTTTAAGCCTTCATTACGCTACCCAAAACTACAAAAAAAGTTTGGGCTAGGGATACACTTTAGGTTCACTTAAAGGTAAGTAGAACAGCATGTGTAGGTAAACCCGAACAATGAACTTCTCTTATTTACTTCTTTGAACGCTTCAACATAACATTGAAAGCACTTTGTTATATCTGTTCAGTAAGTGCCTGTTGATCATGTCAGAAACTCAGAGCTGTCCTGTGCATACTTCCTGTGTTATCTCAAGGAGTCTATTTAGTACGGATGCACCGATATCGTTTTTAGGTAACGAGTACGAGTACCAATATTTTGCTTTCGTTACTCGCCGATACTGGGTACTGATAACGGTGCTTCCGCTGGCATTAAGCCGGCTTCCTGATTGCAGGGGAAGCCGGCTGCATGTTTGGCCGGCTTGATTGTGATTGGCCGGGAAACCGGCTTCCCAGCCAATCAGCATCAAGGCGGCTTCCCAGCCAAACAGGAGCCCTGGCAGTGAGTAATGACCCGCTTCCCGATTGGCCGGGAAGCCGGCTCTATGCTGGAAAGGCAGCTTCCCAGCCAATCAGCAAGGAGGTGGTTGTTCGGCCAGCTCGATGATGATTGGCCGGAAACTGGCTTCCCGGCCAATCAGCACTGAGCCGGGTTCCCGGACAATCAGGAAGCCGGGAGGTGGGTCATTACTTGCCACCCAGCTTCCTGATCGCAGGGGAAGCTGGCTCCATGTTCCCCTAGGGCACTGCCAGTCAGAGGAATTCTTCCTCTGACCAGAAGTTCCGGTTTCAGCTAAGGTATCGTAGCATTACCTTATATAGATTCATTAGATTCAGATTTTATTAGTCGCATACATAATCGTACACAGTATGATATGCAGTGAAATGCTTACACGACCGTATAATACTCGGTATTGGCACCAATACTAGTATCGGTACCGGTGCAACCCTACTAATTAGTAATTCCAGTTCTTACCTTGAACTACTGAACAACTCTCCTCTATGTTGCAGAGATGAAAAGAGAGGGGGGATTCAGTAGTTTAATAAAATATGTGGGCAAGGCTGACACCATTTTTTGTGATTTCAGTCCAGAAAAATAAACTGTGTTGTCAACCCACAACAGGAAATTAGGAGTGCATTTCTGGTAGATCAACAGGTATTTGTCAGCACTTGCAGGGTCTTTCCAGTGATAAACCAGGATTAGAGGGCAAATAATTCAATTGGGACACTTGTTCAGATGTCAATTGCCTAAGTGGGGATTTCCCTCGCATTATAGATATTTCAAATCACTTCCTGTTTATTTGAAGGGCAGAAAGTGAAGGTAAAACCTCCCCTATGAGACACAGCATACACTCTGATACCAGTTTAGAATAAATCAATCCATCAAAGTCCATCCAGACATAGAATTAAATTAAACTGACTTGCCAAGAAATATTAACAGTAGTGTTTGTTCTAATTCCTATTTGTAAAGTAGAGTTATAAAATCCCACTTATATGTCCAGCACAAAACTGGGTTAAAAAAAAAAGTTTTAGCTCAGAAGATTTTTCTACACTTTGGTCAACCCACACACCGTTCATCTTCTTTGCAAATTCAGCATCTGTATTCATTTGAAGGTCAGTATACCTGAAAAGCAATATTTGAGTTATTCTTGGATCCTGAGTAGACGAGTCAGTCCCTGGCTTCTTACATGTCTTGGATACTCCAACAACAGGACTTCTCTTCTCTAATTCCCGACTGTTTCTGCCTGCCTAGGAATTTTGGGTGTTCCCACCCACCTTCAAGTGTCTAGCATTCTCCGTTATATGAAATAAATAAAACAGCACATGGGGACAGTGGAAACCCCCCATGGCCACATCAGATTTACAGACCCATGATATCAAGTGCAGAGATCTCACTAATAGAGTCCTTAAGGCTCCATTCACATAAGCGCCACGATCAGCAGGATATCCATGAACAGATCGTAGCAGTATGAAATGGGTGTCACTCTTGTGACACCCATGTCCATTCAGTTTTTCCTCCATTGACTGAACTAACCAGACCCATGTTAGGTCTTTGGACAGTCCAATGTAAATGGACATGTGTCAGGTCTGCCAAAATAGAAGTCTTTTTTGTTTTTTTTGTGAGGTAATTGGATGTAGACATGTAAAGGGATTCCCCCTAGACTAGCACTGTGCTTCTGATCAGGTTCACATGAAAAACTGAGAGGTGGTCCTGATCAGAACGACATGTGCAAGGTGCCTCAAACATTTTAGAAACCGCTGTGTGGTTTAACTCTTTAATATCTACTAAAACCTGACATATCAATTTAGAGTTGACTTTCAGTGCAACCTGCATTACTCTTACAAGTTATGTTGTAAATCATAAATACTTTGCTTTATCTTACCTCCACTCGCTCTTCTCTAAGCTGGATTCGTCCTGCTAGCTGTTCTCGAGCTATCACATCTGGGTACTGGTTGTGGTGGAAAGTTTCCTCCAGAGCCTGCAACTGTTCTTCAGTGAATATAGTGCGGTGACGGCGAGTTCGGCGCTGATTAAGTGGAAATGCATTTACTTCTGGAGCAGTCTTCTGGCCAAGTGTTGACCCATCTTCAGGGAAGGCATGCATCATTTGAAGGGGCCAGTGAAATTGTGTGGCTGAATTAAAGTGGTCAAAGAGAGAAGAAAAACTATTGATGTTGCATAAGAACAGAAAACATGTAAATAATTGTCGGAAATCAAAAGCTAAAAAAATAGGAAGCACAAGTTCTTGAGAATTTTAGCAACCATTAAATAAAAATAGAAATTACGGCCAAAGTTCTTTCCATTCATCATGTACAATGCATGTGTACCTACTTATGTTTTAGTTTTTTATATCCTGAAGACCATCTAAAAACAAATACTTCAAGTAAATCTGTAATAACAATACTATGTAGGCTGATATTGCTATATCTCTTCCTAAAAATGCTGGTTGTGTGGCGTTTTAACTGTCCAACGCTCTCAATTAATCGAGTCCCTGACCCCCAAGTTTGGGGGTCAGGTGTCTGATTTCCCATTTGACTTCCGATTCAGAAAGTAATGACGTTAGAGACAATCAGGCAACTAGCATTTTCAGGATATCATCAATAGCAGCCTATGTATTTCTTTCAGTACAGGTATTGTATTTTGCTGTTGTAAGTAAGAGAACATAATACTTACCAAGCCACGAAGGATCCTGAGCAGATTGATGATGGGAATGTACACAACAACAACAACTGCACACAGCCATGGTTTGGTTCTCTTGTTGGCTTTGCCTGTTCTGTGCCCACAATGCTGTCTTCTGACAGCTGTGTTGTTTTACTTCAGGTGAAGGAAGAGATAGGATGGTTTCAATAGAGAATGATTGTTGAATCTTGTTTTTAGCATTTTGCTTGATTGGTGCCATAGTAGGAGTTTGTTTCTGCATTGCTTCCTGTCCTCCGTTTGTCAGTACTATGATTCCTGTCCTTATAAAACACCTCATCTTGCGTACTCACTGAGACCCCTGTTACCTTTAATACTTTTAGCTTAAAGTGTGTCCTTTCATTGCTTGATTTTTCTCTATTTTTAAATACCTTTATTTCATTCCGCTAAAGCTGCCACTTTATAACTCCAAACTATTTTATGTGAGGGAAAAAAAAAGCCCCCGTAATCCCCGGACAGAAATGCTAAACCCCAGTGAATACGATAACTGGCCCTCTAATCTCAGGCGGTTTTGTTCACTGTGAGTTGTGCATCTGAGATCTCCTTAATCCAAGCAGAGCTTGGAAAAAAAATAAAAAATCTGCTTCTTACATCTGGGGCGCTAGGCAGATTGTGTGATGGGCATTGTGTGTGGGGAAAGGGTCTGATATCAAAACTGCTTCTACACAACAGAGAAGGATTAGAAAGAACAATTATCCCATCTCAGCTCTGCTCTAAAATACCTGTACAATCAGACAGAGCTGTCATATTAAGCTCAAATATAGCACTGGACTTTGTTTAGCTGTTTCAGGGAATGGCACCAAGGAATCAATGTTGGAGTTTTAGTTGGGTAAAAATAACATACAAACACTTTAATTTCCTTCCCTGTCTCTTGTATGGAACTTAATGACTAAATAAGTGGTAATACAAAAGAATAAGATGCTGTATCTGTAGCAAGCCCAATATCTTTGCATATCTCCTGAATCCTATTGTATTATACTCTCCTCATTGCAAGTCTCTATAAGCAGGTCACTATCTTTATTGCAAGTCCGTATAAGCAAGTCACTGTCTTCATTACAAGTCTCTATAATCATGTCACTTGCAGATCACTCTTTACACACACACACACACACACACATATATAGCACATGATTCACAGCCCTGTCAAGCTGCTCACATGATGATTCTTAGCCCTGGCTAGGTGTTTATTGTGTGCTGTACTGATGTAGAGACCAGTGGGTGGAGCACATGGTGGAGAATGCAGGCATCCAAAACACCCAGACGTGAGTTGGATGGGAATATTCTGCTGTCAGCTTTGTTCTGCAGCTGAGCAAAGATTCAAAAATTAGGCTGCAGCATAGGAGGCCTGGCTGGCTTCACAGCTGTTACATTGCACATTAGCATGTACTGCGTTAAGAAAGTACATTAATTTTGAATGGGCTGCCAACATACAGGAAATAGCATCTGACCCCTTTTTGGGATGCAAAGCGTGGTAGTGCATTGTTATGCATTTCAGCATAATGCAATGTGGGTGTGGTTCATTGGAGTACCATTCAAAAAGTACCAGTTTCTTAAAATGCTCCATAATCAAATTATGCTTGACCTCTTCCACCCCTGCTCATGAACAAATCCCATTGCCTTCTCTCTTTTCCCATAATTCATGATCATCTTTTCTGTGCTTCTGCTCTTCCACTTTTGCCTTTCTTTGATCAGGCAGATCAAGGTTTGCCTTCTGTCACTTAACTTCCATTCACCTCCTATTCTGCCTTCTCTACCTTTCCCAATTTTCCATGGTCTGCTGTCACTCATCTGTCCCCGTTCCCCCACTCCCCGCCATGATCAAATTCCAATTTTGGATGCGCTCACATTCGTTTCTAATGGGCCCCAATGCACATCCTTGCAGTCACCAACAAACTTGACCCTCAATGCAGCACAACGTATACATTTGAAAACACATGTGTTGTTGGTCATACTGTATATGGGAATGGTGCACTGGTGCATGGAGACTCACTGAGGATCCATAGGAAATTAGAATTCACTTAAATAATCACGCAATAAACAACCCATGTCAGCACATGTCATAATGCCCTTAAAGTCCATTTTATAAACATACACACTTGGATTACACAGGCCTGCTTATTCTTGTATCAATTTTAGCTGTTTGACTGAATATTTCAGATGACCAGGCATGATCCAACTAGCATCTTATGTATTTTGTTAGAACCAGGTCTAGATATTAGGGTATGGTCACATGTACCTGAATAGTAAACATTTTCTATTCACAGATTGCCACATACATATCCATGGTAAGGGTAGGGGTCTCTCATACATGTACCTGGGTAGCAGACATAGAGAGAGCAGCCAGGCCCCACGAGGACTGACTTATCACAGGAAAGAACAAAGGGCATTGTCTGAAATGATAAAAGACAGGAAATCACTCTTTCCCCCTAGAACCGTTGTCTTGAAGTGTATGGTGCTGTCTGTGGGTGCCTAATGACATAGGGAACCATCGCTTGATTCAGCCAAAATTGATTGTTTGGGATAATGATTATCTGATGTCTGCTTGTACCTTTGTTGCTCATAAGCATGGGCATAATAGCACTTTGAATTTTGAACATGCACAGGCTCCAATGCATGGAAAGATATTTGCAACTGAATATGAATGCCTGCATTCTCTACACTTTCTATGCAGAAAAAGGTTTACTGAGCATGTATAGGAATAAAATCATAAGAGTTGAGGAAAATGGCCAGATTTCTTTACCTTTTGTAGCAATATGTTATAAGTCTTCCAATCTGGGTGGTACACATGTTAAAGGGACTTACAAGTCATCTCAGATAAGGGCTATCTTGTAAAGAGACAAAGAGGACTTCACTAACAGTGTGTTATAAGAAAGAACATTGAAACATGTCACCCTAGAAGCAAGATATATAATCTCTGTAATAATTGTGTGATAATTTCCCAATTAGAAGTCTCCCTTTTTTTTTATTGGGAGCACCTAGGTAAAAATAGCAAAGCTCTGCATGAGTTAATCACACACAGCAAATAGTAGGTGAGCAAAGATCACACTCACTTACAGATTTCAGCTCATGGAAATAGAACAAATGTCTCTTCCTTTGTATAAGGAATTAAGGGATTTAGAAACAGATCTATCAAAGGGATTTGAGTTATCTCAGGGTAATAAAAGCCAGAAAGAGGGGGCAGGATTAGGTTAGGAGCTGTTTACTTTGATAAGATCATTGTAATATTCCAGCAACACAGGAAGGTGTGACTGTGAACCAGTGCAATCTGTCAGAAACGCTTTCAAGAATCTGAGGATAATAAATATGTTCTTGCTTTTTATGAAAAGCAAAAGAGTTTAGGATTTGATTATTATATTTGAGCACAAACATAATTCTACAGATGCATACAATATCATTGCAATTCACTGAAATAATGACATTGTATTTATTTTGTTTATAATGCAAACATTTCACATCACCATGCACTGCTGACAAATTGTTTCCATTGTGAATGAAAACACATACTACCTTGTTCGTTATAAGGAGAGTATGACTATGTGTGATGGGGCCCCATAGAAATCTCCTGTCTCTTTTATGATCATCTTGATGTAATTACTGTGTAGCTGTACAGTTCTGGGTCACCACTGATTCAGGGAGCCATTGCAGTTGCATGATCTGCTTTGACTTTAGGTATGTTTTTACCTGTCTGCTGAGACAATCTGCATTGGCAGTTCCCATCAGGGCAGAGTGACATAGTTCATTTTAAAGCCGCCTCACCACTTTATATTCCCCACCTTATACTCACCATCATAGAACTCCCTTGCCGCCCCAGTCTCCTGCTACTGCAAACTACCAGGTGCTTATGGTTATAGGGGTGCATGTGACCTTCTCTAATGATGCAGAGCTAGGGCCTAGTGACCTGTCCTATGACAAACAGTGTGATATCACTCCCTTTAAGCTCTGACATCTGCAAGTAATTGCAATGAAAGAAGGCACACTATAAAGCGTTCTGTTTCAAAAGCCAATGCATGTAATGACATACCTTTTTTGACTCAGTCTGTGTGGAGAATAAGGTCACTTGCTGACAGAATGACTGGCAGAATCCATAGGCAGCTTAACTCTACAAAACAAGGATATGTGCAAATTTGCTTCAGATAAGTGCAGTGCAGAGGATGTTGTTCCAGTCTTTAGAAGTGCAAGAAGACATTGACTTTCCTAATCCCTGTCTCTGTTGGGGGTCTCTAATGAGTCAGCTATCAAACATAAAACACTAGCTAATCAGTGTACTATCACTAACCCTTTGAAGTACACAGTCAAAATACTCCCTCATGCCCCCTTCTCCTCACACAAGTTTTATAGATGGTAATATACAGTATATATATA